CCCACATTGTATGACATATTCGTCCACTTTCACAGTAATGTGAGAGTGGACGAATATGGCATAAAGTGGAGTCATGGTAGTTTGAAGTGAGAAGTTTATTTATTTATTTCAAATGGCAGGCTTTATGATATTTATCACTTGCCCTTAATCTTTGACTTCAGCTTCCACCAAGAAGGGGGGGGGGTACATTTATAGCAGTTAATTAATCGTTCATGAAGGGGGGTACATTTATAGCAGTTAATTAATAGCAGTTCATTTAGCTGTCTTCTTGCTTCCCAGTATCTCTGGCTTAATTACATTTATAGCAGTTCATTAATAGCAATTCATTAGCTGTCTTCTTGCTTCTTACATTTATAGCGGTTAATTAATAGCAGTTCATTAGCAGTCTTCTTGCTTCCCCGTATCTGGCTTAATTACATTTATAGCAGTTCATTAATAGCAATTCATTAGCTGTCTTCTTGCTTCTTACATTTATAGCGGTTAATTAATAGCAGTTCATTAGCAGTCTTCTTGCTTCCCCGTACTCTGCTTTCAGCTCATTAGCTGTCTTCTTGCTTCCCAGTATCTCTGGCTTTCTTGCTTGTCTTTAGAGCTGGACACCGAATCAGGTGGGTCTTCCTTGTCTTTAGGGCTGGACACCGAATCAGGTGGGTCTTCTCCTTGTCTTTAGGGCTGGACACCGAATCAGGTGGGTCTTCCTGTCTTTAGGGCTGGACACCGAATCAGGTGGGTCTTCTGTGTCTTTAGGGCTGGACACCGAATCAGGTGGGTCTTCTCGTTTCCTCATGTAGGTTACATAGAGGGCATGTGGGTTGAGTTTAGGTTACATAGAGGGCATGTGGGTTGAGTGTATACTCCCCTCTGTGAAGGTGTTTTGCCAAGCAATCGTGTCCGGTACGTTTGTGAGGGTTTTTTGCCAAGCAATCGTGTCCGGTACGTAGTCTAAACAACGGCTATCTTGGCCAGTCGAGTATGTCGTAGAGTGCCAATGTCCACTGTTTCGTTGCACCTTGAGGTCTGGAATTCTCTCCTGATTA